TGACATGAGGATGAACTAGAAGGGATGGAGAGGCATTCTATGTGAGATTTCTGGGGACATCCAAGAGGTCTTGTTTTTATATAATTATGATGAAATTAAATATATGATATGTGATGAGCTGGGTGTGGTGTTCCTGACTCTGATCTCTGCACTCCAGAGGCTGAGGCAAGAGGGTCACATCAAGGACCAGGCTAGCTTCAGCTACACAATGCAACCCTATCTGATAACTAAAAACTACAAATATGTGTGTACAGCATTAGGAGAGTGTAACATTGAATTTATATAAAACTCCAAATACAATGACTATATTTCTTTTTGGTTTATTTATGTCTCTTTTTTTTGACAAGTTCTTGCTCTGTGACTTCCTCTAACTGGGACCTCACTATGTAGCCAGGCTGTGCTCGAATTCATGGTGACCCTCCTGCCTCAACCTCCCAGTGGCTGGTGTTACAGGCAGGGGCCATCACACATGTCATGAAAAGCAAGTTTTAACTTGAAGCCACAAAAAGAAATTTTTTTTATCATGGATGAATTGAAATTGGCACGAAAAAAATTCATCCTTTTATACTTGATTGATTTGTGGTTGATTCAGTCCTGAACAAGCACCACCACCATCACCAGAACATGTTTAGCACCTCAGAAAGAAACTGCAAACCTTCTAGAAAGCCCTTCCTGTCCTTATCCTCCTCCTGGCTCTGGCAATCAAGAAACCGCTTTCTGTCTCTATGCATTGGCCCTTCTGGGTACTTTAGGTCACAGGAATCTTATAATACAGACTTAGGTCTGGTGTCTTTCACTGCCTGTTCTCTTTCGAAGGTTAATTCTTGTTGTGACATGTCAGTAAATCACTCCTCTTTACGGCAGAACATTTCACTGTACATAGGTATCACATTTCAGGCAACCTTTCATCAGTTGGAGGATACTGGGTTATGCCCACTTCTCTGGTACAAACAATGCTACCATAAACACTCACGCACTTGTTGGTGGACATGTGCTCTACATTGACCCTATGTTTAATGGTTTTTTTCCTTGAGATTTGATCTGAATAGTTTACCCAGGCTGGCAAGAGACTTGGCTCCTTCTACTTCATCCTCTTGAGTAACTGGGATTACAGGGATTTGCCTGTGCACCTGCTTTATATATTCTTTGCAAAACACTGAACTGATGTCTAAAGGGGCAACTTTATATTTGCCTAAACTTTTCGTCATGCTGGGGAATGGAAACAAGGTCTCTCACATGCTAGCCAAGCCTTCCAACACTGAGCTACATCCTGGGCCTTTAAAAATGTTTTACATCGAGACAGCTTCCCACTGAACTGCCCAGGCTGGACTCAAGCTTGCAATCCTCCTGCTTCAGCCTCTGCAGTGCTGGATGACAGGCTCAAGCCAACCCTCCACCCCCTGCAGAAACAACAATTGACAGCTCTGGGAACGTGCTGCCTAGTCCCAGATAGCCAACACAGACTGGCCAGGGCCTGAGTGAATCCCACCAGAGTTTCTGAGACCTCTTCCCATCATGTCAGCTTCCCTGGCACAGGACTCAGAAATCCCAAACATGTCCTGGCTCTAACTCTGATCACAATACCCTCTTCCTCTTCCTTTGGGCAGAGACAGAGGTGGGAGGCTGGGGTCACCTCCTGGGCCTGAGTCATCCCCCACCCCGTGGTCCTGCTCTTCTCCCTCCTCTGACTCTGAAGACTGGTCTTTCTTCTCCTGACAGGGCACTGAGGCAGGAAGCAGGGTGCTGACCCAGGCACTGGATCAGAGAGACGCCTAAGGCCTTCCTGCTGCAGCTCTGTCTTTAACCCTGAGGACTGGGCTCTCCTCCTCTTGTGCCCAGAGCCCTGAGTTCCCAGGCTGTCACTGCCCACAGCCTGAAGCAGGAAACCCAGGCAGGGTTGAAGCCTCTCTCTCTGGAATTCAGCCCTTGATCATCTAACTCTTGCGTCTCCGGCCCCTCACCTGATGT